CATGCTTGTGAATGCATCTCACAGGAGGGAGACCTGTTTGTGGTCTACCGGGCTGGGTGTCCCTCTGCTTGAGATCTAGTTTTTGTAAAGTACAAATGGTAAGATTGTCTTCTTTCTACTTTGAAGGGACATAGTAAGAAAAAAATGAATGTCTTTGCTTTTAAGGTTTGTAATGTAAGAACTTAGCCGCACACTGGAATTACGGTACAGTCCTTTTATCCATGGAGGGTCGGTACACATGCCCCAGGAAGTAGAACTGGGTTTTGACGCTCACTGAAAGCTTCCTGGGGTCACATCTGTTCTGACGCCTCACAAGCCTACATTCGTAGATGTTAGAGCACAGCCTGGAAATGACCAAAAATTAATTTGTGCCATTGTTGGGTCTTCATGGAAGATGGGTAAGAGCAAACTTTTGAGTCAAGGGGATGTTAACGTTCTTAGCCTTGCCTAGAGACCATCTTTATAACAAAGTCATTTCAATTTAGAAGGGACAGTAAGAAAAACACCCAATCCCATTCACTCAGTACTCAAAAGTGTTGAGCACTGGCCCAGGTAAACACCTAGCCGCAACCGCACACAACAATTTCAATAAAATACAACTAAAATATAAAATGGACATTACCCAGAACTACAGGAAAGTTGACTGGAAATTCTACAACGAGAAGCAAGGAGAAAACCAGAAGGAAGCGCAGAGGAGCTGAAAAACCTAAGGTATGCAGACATGCGGCATGCGTGGAAAGGACAGAGCTGGAGAGGAGGGAGGCTGAGTGCCTGGCTGGCGTTCCCTAGCGGGAAGGAGAAAAAAGCTCCGACTGTGCTGGGCCCCAGTTCTGACTGCTCTGAATCTCAGTTCTAGGCCAGACCCCGGGTACTCAGGCTCATCCACAGGGAGCTGGGCTGTAAGGCGGAACCGGGGGAGCGGCGAAAGGAGGTCCCAGTGGCGCGCACATTGCGCGCAGAGAAGAGACGGTTGGCTATGCCACGGAATTGCCCTGGCGGGAAGGAGACTGGGGCTCCAGTCTGCTCTGAACGCCACCTCCAACTCCACTTCCAACTGAACTGAACCCCAGTTCCGGGCTCATTGGGGGAAAGCCTAGACTGTTTGGTAACAGACGAAAATCAAGAGCACCTTTCTCTCAGAGGCCCTTGCAACAAGTACTGAAGGACCCTGAGACCCAGGAGCCGCATAGGGCGGGGCTGATGGAAGCCTGTAGGCTCCACCCTGAAACCCCGCCCCATCTGTAGCTGTGAAATCTGACAACGAAATAGATCACAAATGAAAGAAATGGAGGACAAAAAACGACTGGATATAGAGTTCAAATCTACGCTTATAAGGTTTTTTAAGAATTTCCTAGAAAAGATGGATAAGACCTATGAGGATATGAAGAGATCAACTAGAATAAATAAGGAATCAACAAGAAATGATAAGGGATCAACAAGAAATAAAGAATACGTTGTCTAAAATAAAAAATATTATACAGAGTCCTAAAAACAGAATGGGAGATCGCAAGAATCAAGTCAAAGATTTGGAGCATAAAGAGCCAGAAGACACTCCTCCACAGAAGCTAGAAGGCAAGAGAATCCAGAAAATTGAAGATAATGTAAGAAACCTTTGGGACAACTTTAAGCGAACCAACATCAGAATTATGGGGGTCCCAGAAGATGAGAGAGAGCAAGATATCGAAAACATACTGAAAGAAATAGTGACAGAAAACTTCCCCCACCTGGTGAAAGAATTAGACTTACAAGTCCAGGAAGCACACAGAACTCCAAACAAAAGGAATCCAAAGAGGACCACACCAAGACAAATCATAATTAAAATTCCAAGAGCAAAAGACAAAGAGAGAATATTAAAAGCAGCAAGAGCAAAGCAGGTAGTTACCTATAAAGGAGCACCTATACGATTGTCAACTGATTTCTCAACAGACACCATGCAGGCCAGAGGGGAATGGCAAGAAATATTCAAGGTGATAAATAGTAAGAACCTACAGCCAAAGATAATCTATCCAGCAAAGCTATCACTCAGAATCGAAGGTCAGATAAAGAGCTTCACTAAAAAAAAAAAAAAAAAAAAAAAAAAAAGCTAAAGGAGTTCATCAACACCAAACCAGAATTATATGAATTGCTGAAAGGGTTTCTTTCAGAAGTGAAAGTAAATAAAGATAAAAATTGCCGAAACCGGTTTGGCTCAGTGGTAGAGCGTCGGTCTGCGGACTGAAAGTTCCCAGGTTCGATTCCGGTCAGAGGCATGTACATTGGTTGCGGGCACATCCCCAGTAGGGGGTGTGCAAGAGGCAGCTGGTTGATGTTTCTCTCTCATCGACGTTTCTGGCTTTCTATCTCCCTCCCTTCCTCTCTGTAAAAAAATCAATAAAATATATACAAAAAAAAAAAAATAAAAAAAAAAAAAAATAAAGATAAAAATTATGAACAACAAATACGTTAACTATCAACAAGTGAATCTAAAAACCAAGGGAATTACAAAAAAATCTGATGAACAATATTAACTGTTGAATATAATAGAATCAGAGGTATGGAAGGAGAGTGAACTGACGATTCTTGGGGAAAAGACGAGAGGGGGGGGGTGGAAGAGACTGAATATAAACTGTGCACCTATGGATGAGGATAATGGGGAGTGGGGAAAGGGCAGAGGGTGGGGTGGGAACCTGGTGGAGGAGAGCAATGGAGGGGGGGGGGGAAAAAGAACATTTGTAATAATATGAACAATAAAAATTTATTTTTTTAAAAAAAGTGTTGAGCACTGAGTGAATGGGATTCATTCGCCAGCTCCAAGCCAATGTTCTCAGGATAATGCACAATTTCCAGTAGAGGTCACATTCATGTGGAAAGTTACCATAATAAACAAAAGCTGCATCTCATCATTTCTAAAATAATTAAACTTAAATCAGCCATGAAGTTATCAAAGATATGAGTTCATCAGTTTATCTGAAACAGCAAGTTGTAGAGGCAAGTATGTTCTAAATAGATTTTAAGGTGAATTATGATCCTGTGAGCACATAACATTGCAAAAAGATGGATAGAAAAATACTAACACTTTAGTCCGTTTTCTTATATTAAGAAAAATAAAATTAGGTATTCAATAAACACATTCCAGATGAAATAAGTTCTACCAAAAAAGAGAAAAAGACTGAGAAATTGTTTGCTATGGAGAACTTCAGAGGACTTTTTGTCTAACACTAAAATTCTGGGGATTTGTATGGAAATTTATTAAGCACATCTAAATAATGCAGACAGTGCAGTAAGTAACCTTAAAAATTTGTCATCTGTGAACAAATTTCAAAGTAATCTTGGGAATGAAAGACAAGTTTTAACCTTATTTTCAACTATAGTCTTTAATAGTTATGGCAGTACCCAAATGGTCTAACAATATTAGAAGAACTTAAACAGAAATTAAGCCAATGTTCACTCAGGAATAAGTAGTCCCATTCAAAATTTACTGAATTGCAAATTATGATGTTAGTTAAGTAGAGAATATCCAAAAATATCTTGGCAAGTTCCTGGATGTCTAAGTGTATGCCAGCATTATTGAACTGTTCAAAGTATTAGCAGCTAAGAATGTGAAGTATTTGTCAAATTTTCAATAAAAAATATCTTTAAAAGATCAGCACATTTGATAATAAATTAATTTATACAATTAATTTCAAAGTACAGAAAACCTGAGTTGTATCCCCACCCCTCTTCATATCCCGTTTTCTTTTGGACCCTGCGTCTCAGCCTTTAACGAGCACACACATTCCTTGAGGATCTCTCTGAGACCCAGTTTCTGATGCACGAAGTCTGGGATGGGGCCCGAGCGCCTATTCTTCTAACAAGCTACAGAGCGAGCTGGGCTGGGCTTTGGACCACCTCTGAGTAGCAAGATGACCCAACATATGGCAAGGTCGATTTCTAGCCTAATGACAGTTTCGTTTATAGATTCAGGCTATGATGTTTTGGCATGAATCATAACCAAAAATGATCACAAAAAGTACTTTTAGGAAGAAAAGAGTATTTTAGTTGAGAGCTTAAAAGAACACCAAATTGGCCTATCTGCCTGACAGTAGCACCTCTGGCACATTACAGCAGTGATTTTTCAACCAGTGTGCCATCAGAATTTTTTAAATATGCATGACCTATCTATCAGGGGCACTGGCCTCTTTTCCTTTAGATTGTCAAATTAAAAAATGACAATAGTCAGCACAATAGCTGTTCAGTGTGAACGTCCTGTCTGGAACCATAAATATAGAGTTGCATCTTATCAGTCATGTTGCATTATAAGGTTGTCTGATTGGTAGATTCTTGGTACCAGAAGTCCTTCCATACAAGTAGAGGCACCTGATTTTTTTAAGTCACTTTAGAGCCACGGCCAGTGTTGCTCAGTTGTTTTATGTTGTCCAGTGCACCAGAAAGTTGCAGGTTTGATCCTTGGTCAGGGTGTGTTCAGGAGGCCACCTATCTCTGTTTCTCTCTCCTCCTCCTCCATCTCTCTAAAAAAAAAAAGTTATTGGAGCAAAAAAGGATAGGCAATTAATTTTTATAAATCAAAATTATACCTATTTTCCCCCTGCCGGCATGGCTCAGTGGTTGAGTGTGGACCTGTGAACTAGGAGGTCACAGTTCGATTCCCAGTCAGGGCACATGCCCAGGTTGTGCGCTCAATCCCCTGTATGAGGCATGCAAGAGACAGCTAGTCAATTCTCTATCATCACTGATATTTCTCTCTCTCTCTCCTGCTCCCTTCCTCTCGGAAATAAAATTTTTCAAAAAGATATTTAAAAATATATCTACCTATGTTTTTGTCAGATCAGCAAAAAATCTATTTTTTGGTGTGCTACAGAATTTTAGTAGTTTATTTATGCCATGTAATAAAGTTACACCAAGTCCTTATAACTTTAAAAAAGTTACTATTGCTTGAGACTCCAGTTAAATCAAGCCAGTACACTGCAAAAAAGTAAAAATCTTTAATGTGAGCTGTCCACATAAATTACTTGTAAACCTCTTCAAGCTACCCCATCTCCTCCTCCTCTTTCAACAAATAAATGCTTTTTTTTCTGTCTTGTTGCTAAACAGTGTGTAATACCCAGTGCCCCTCCCTTTAAAAATCGAACGAAATTATCTCCAACTAAAGGACCCAGTGCAAAAAGATGGGCTTCTTTCACACACTCATAGGTGTACGCATCTATCTCCACAGGATTGCCCTTACAAGTGATCGGGCAGCCCGAGTTATGGCCCAGGTAACAGCCTTCCTCTTTCAAAAAAGACAGATTGGGATGAGAACCTATCAGCACTACTGCTGCAGAAAGTTTAAATATGGTCTTCAATCCAGAGGCGCTCTGAAGGATGCACTTCATGTCCGACTTAAAGGAGAGCACACGGTGCTCAGGAAAACTGGTGTAACCGGGTAAAGGGCTGGAGTCTGCAGGTGACTGCGTACACATCATGTGATAGACCTTGTGGTATTCTGGATACAGCTTTTTAGGAAGCTGCTTGAAAATTAAACTTGGATCAGTTACTCGTCTGCGAAATGCATGAATCACAGGGATGTTGTTATTGTAAGCACACAGGACTGCATCGGCTGCAGTGAGCCCAGAGCCTACAATTAACACTGGGTCCACTTTGCCCCGCAACTTCCCTTTGCTGACAGCCGCTCCAAACTCCGGCAGCGAGTGAAACACAAAAGGGAGGTCTTCCCCTTCCACCTCCAGGCGGGCAGGAGAGTCCAGTGTCCCCGTGGCCAGGACGACATTCTCAGCAAAGAGAGCGAAGGGAACATGGGAACCACCTGCTACTCGCTGGTAGCCCCGGACCTCCCAGTTTCTCTTGATAAACTTGGACTTCTCCATCTGCAAATGCTGTGCTGGAATCGCTCCCTCCTGACCACCATCCTCCTCCCGGGCTCTGTAGAGTCTTGACACAGAGGTGATGTAAGTGTTCTCTCTGAAGTTCTTCTGAAGGCCCATGACTTTCACATAATGTTTATAGTAACGAGCTACTTCCTCTGGCATAACTCGATCCCCTTTTAGGTTCCTGGAAAAGGAAAAGGAAAACATCCTATGAGAACATGACTTTGTTTCCATGATTATTATAATACTTCTCCATCAATAAGCTATTACATCTTTTAAATTCCCCTGAACTGTCTTAGCTATCCATGATCCTAACCCCTTACAAAGAAAGAAAACTTTTTAGTTAAAAGAGGAAGCCTCACCGAAACCAGTTTGGCTCAGTGGATAGAGCATCGGCCTGCAGATTGAAAGGTCCCGGGTTCGATTCCGGACAAGGGCATGTACCTTGGTTGCGGGCACATTCCCAGTAGGGAGTGTGCAGGAGGCAGCTGATCGATGTTTCTCTCTCATTAATGTTTCTAACTCTCTATCTCCCTCTCTTCCTCTCTGTGAAAAAATTAATAAAATATATTTATAAATAAATAAATAAATAAATAAATAAATAAATAAATAAGGAAGCCTCCTGAGGGTAGAGACTAGGCAATGCATTCCTGCTTCTCCATTGTATCTTCTCAAATTGGCTGCTTTTATCAATAAACAAAGGGATTAAAATGTGGATATGTGATCATTAGACTCCGTTACAGTCTATGTTACAATAGTAATCTAAATGATTCAGTTTATAGCTCTACTATTTAGTCTTTGTTCTGTATACTAAGTCAGCAATTTTCAACTGGTATTATCCTCAAAAATTTAAAATATGCAGTACCTGACTATTTAGTCAGGGACACTGACCTCTTCCCTTAGGTTGTCAAATAAAGTAAAATAACAGCAGCAAAAACAACAATAGCCAGTTGATGTGAATGAATCAAAAGTATACCCTTTTCTTCAGATCAGCAAAACATATTTTTGGTGTGCCACAAAATTTTAGTAATTAGTTTATGTGTGCCATGAGATAAAAGGGTTGAAAATCATTGCTGTAAGTACAGACTAGCTTAATTACAATTATTGAGGTAGTACAGGTCTAATTGTAATACACAGATATATTTGTTAAAGATAATATATATCACTCTGACACAATTTTTAGTAAAGTGCTTTCTATTTTCCTAATGACCAAAAATAAGTCAGATCAGTCTTCGGTAAAAAAAAACTAGCTTATGTCTAAGTAAATAATATGACATTTGTTTTTCTTACTCAAATAATAAAATATTTTTATGAAAAAGTACATTAGTACATCTTTCGTTTTCCATTTGGACTTTAAAGCAATGGGCATTAGCACCCCCAACCAATGTCCCCCAATTAGAAATAAATGGAAAAACAAACTAAATCACTTCACATAATTCATTATAACTTGTTTTTGGAAAAAGTTAATAAAAACAGTCTTCTTAAAATTTAATAATTTAAAAGTAAGATTTAAAGCATATTAACTTTTGGGTTTTACAGAAACTATGTAGTAGTTACTATTAAGATCTCCACTTTACAGAGAAGGAAATTGACAGCTAATTGGTGTGACCAGGGTTGCATCAGGTTACAGAGTAAATCTGTAGAGATTTAAGTTTTCCTTCTTTTAGCACCATTCAAAGGCAGGAACTAACGGTGACAGTAATCCCCACTTCAGAAGGACAAACATTCCGATACAGAGACATGAAGCTCCTTTCGTACCCACATAACAAAGTGAAGATGTTGAGCAGTTTTATTTACTGACCTATGAAAATCAGGAACTTGTACAACTTGCCTGATTTTGTAACTTTACATGTCAAGTTCATAAACAATTCTTTTTTAAAAACCCAAAAGAAATATTTGATAGGTTTAATTTCAATTATGCAATGCTGGTCTAAATTTGCTTTCCTTAAATCTTGTCAAATGAAGGATAATTTCTGTGGATTAATATGGATTCTATGAAGTAAGAAGTCAAGCATTCAAATGGTACAGCCCTCTTCTAACAAAAGTTAAGTAACTTCCTGCTTTCATTTGCAGGAATGAAATGTTTTCGTGAGCAGTCAAATTAGATAGAGTCTCTGAGTTAGTAATTCCTATTTAATATTACTATCCTTAAAAACAATAAGGCTTTTCAATTTTTCTTTTTAAATTTTAGATTCTTTCCCCAAAATAAACAAACTTGTATTCTTCCAAATTGAGATTTCTTCTTAGTTACTCGTTAATATTTCCTACTAAATATTTACCTTTATGTCTAAGTAGCCAATCACACCATCAATTCTAGTTTATTCCATCACTCTAAACGACTAATCATATGCACTCCTATCAACTATGCATACATGAATGTATATATCCACTCTTAAAAATCAGTGACTGAGTGTGGAAAGGATGTGAGGGTCGATGGGAAAGTAACCGTGGTTAACAGGATAGGATAAATCCATGCTGAGCAGAGCAGTGGGGACCCAGCCCACAGAAAAGCCCTCCTGACCTCCGGTGCATCTGGGGCAGTGCGAGGGGGACAGCTCAGAGTCCCTGCTGCAGAGGCTTCTGACGGGAGCACGAGACACACAGACATCTGCATTATTCAACCAAGACAGGCACAGGTACCTTGAAATTTGCTGACACTCTTCCCATTGCAACCAAAGAATTGTGATAGTTTCATCCTTACCTTCGTTTGCTAGTCACCCAGTCTTTAAATTTAAGTCCAGGGAGCTCCATCCAATTTCCAAAGCTGATTGTCAACATGGAGCCTTCCATATTCTATTTGGATAAAAAATGTGCAATCAAAAAACACATTTAGGTAACATGGGGCTTTTTGTTGTTGTTTTTTAACCAAACCCATCTATAAACTTGAAGAGTCTGGATAAGGAAAGCTCAAAGTAGTACCAAATGGTTATATAAATTACCTCTCAAAGTTTATTCCAATAAATTTTCAAATAATACTTTCATCATTTGGTAGTGTCTATCTACATACTTATTTCATACAGTTATAATTTACAGAACAAATTTATAATATTACCTAGTGCGCACACAATGTTAATAGTTTTGGCCTATAATCAACATGATAATTCAGATATAATACTTTAGTGAAACAAATGGATATTTTTATCTTTTAAATAAAAGGAAAGGGGTCATTAATTTCCAACTTTATTATTTTTTTTAAATGTATCAATTTCAGAGAGGAAAGGAGAGAGAGACAGAAGATGGAAACATCAATGATGAGAGGATCTTTTATCGGCTACCTCCTACTGGGGATCTAACCTGCAACCTGGGCATGTGCCCTGACTGGCAATCGGACCATGACTTCCTGGTTCATAGGTTTGACACTCAACCACTGAGCCATGCCAGCCTGGCAATTTCCACACTTTAGATGTCTTTTTATTATTAATAATTTTTTTAATGGGCAGCACAACAGCCTCCCCCCCATCAATTGTAATTAGGTAGTCTAAGCTGGTTCGGCTAAAGCAGCACCTCTTTCTAGAACGAGGGAAAAGCAGCAGTGGTGGCCTGATTAAGGACAGACTCACTGCTAATGCTATGCTGCCTTCAAGCTCCCGTGCCCTCTTTACTTCTGTTTTGCTCAGTACAAAGCAAGAAAGGCCCAAGGGCCCCCAGCACCTGTTGCAGTGTCCTCAATGACCTCTTTTACTAATTCTCTCAGCTATGGCTTTCCCTTAACTCTCTTGCCTACAGCCGGCATTCGCAATGGCCAACATTTTCAGAACGCTTGTTAAGTGCTAGCTAGGCCTTATGAAGCTAATTTGTGACACATCACCAAGGGAGAGAACGCAGCAACCTGCCACTGCTTTGAGGCAGGTTGGGCCTGGGACTTGGATCACAACACGATGGAAAACTAGGACTATCAGAAGGGGAGCTGTTAATTTATTATAGGTCAAAAGTTATCTGCAGCCACATAATCATCTCATCTTGAACTCAAAAACCTTAAAGCACTGCATTCTACTTTCTGTAAACAATCTCTTAACTTTATTCCCACTGCACCAGTTCTTCAGTTAGTTTCAAGTCCTAGTCCCTTGATCTGTTCATTTTTCTCCCACCTTTATTTCCCCTATGCAACCTGTATGCCATGAGGCCTGTAGTCATGGAGACAGTATAGCAAGGGGTATGTAGGAGCATACAGAAAGAGGCTATTTCTTCAAGGACACAAGCAGAATTTGTGCACTGTTAGAAAGGGAAACTATTCTAGGCAGAATAAGCAAGCCATGTGACTGTCAATAAAAAACTCACCAGGGTGCAGAAAAGGATTAACAGGCTCAGACTGCGTTAGCCCTGCATATTACTAAGACAGTTCTGTGTTCAGAACTGGCCCTTGGTCACCTCCTGGGAGATTCCATCTGATCCTTGGAACAGTCCACCCGATGAGTGTTTTCTGCGTGCCAGAGCCTGGGCCAGGCCGCACCAAGGGGCCGGGCTCATTTATCCTCACATGGGATTACGGTGAACACCGCAGTTTGCTCTGGGAGGCAGGGACCAGACAGAGGCCAATCACATGGGAGCTGCTGGCTTGCATGGCTGACTCCCCCACAAAATCTCTGAACACCAAGGCGTGGATGAGCATCCCTAATTGGCTCCCACTTGATAAATGAAATGTAAACAACTTTTAGATATAACATTACACTAATAATAGGAAAACTAGAGGCCCAGTGCACAAATTCATACACCAGTGGGTCCGTAGGCCTGGCCTGCAGGATTGGGCCAAAACCGGCTCTCTGACATCCCTGAGGGGTCCTGGATTGTGAGAGGTGCAGGCCAGACTGAGGGACCCCACCAGTGCCAATCCAGGCCAAGGACGGATGCAGGATGTTGGCCAGCCGGGGAGGGACTGTGGGAGGCCTCCAGGATGTTTCCAGCCTGTCTTGCTCAGTCCCTACCAGCCGGACCCCCAGAAGCAAGCTAACCTACCAGTCGGAGTGTCTACCCCCTGATGGTCAGTGCACATTATAGCCACTGGTCATCCAGTCAACTTGTCTGCCTCCTGGTTATCAGTTGAACAGCCTTAGCATATTGAACTTTGATTGGTTGAAAAGACAACCAGACATTTAGCTATTAGGCTTTTATTATATAGAAGGATCCAAATGAAGTCTACTTAAAATCTGATATTTAATGTTAAAATTTTCATGAAACTTGTAGTTCATAACATAGCAAATTTACTTTATTTATACAACAAATGAGCATTCTCAGCACACTAGATACTATGTTGACTGCTAAGGACAGCGTAAACAAGAATTATTAGTTGCTGCCTCTAATGAAATGTACTGACTCTAAATATTATCAGTTATCTCGCTAAGCTTCTGCGATGAACTACATTGTGCCACCTCCAAATTCCAAGGGAAACTCCAACACCCACTGTGAGGTATTTGCAGGTGGAGCCTTTCGGAGGTCATTAGGCCTAAGATGAGGTCACATTGGGGGTTGGGGGGCGCTCTCATGTCAGGATTAATGGCTTTATAGGAGGAAGACAGATCATGCTGTCACTGGCAAGAAAGCAGCTGTCTACAAACCAGGAAAGGAGCGCTCACCACAAAGTGAGTACACTGGCACCTTGGTCCTGGTCAGCTTCCAAACTGGTAAATAGTGTCTGTTGTTTAAACCACCTAGTCTATGGTAGTTTGTTATAGCATCTCAAGCAAACTAATACAGTTTTATTCTTATATTTTTCACTTAAGATACTGAAAATATAGAGAAATAATGGATATTGATATGAAATAGTGTGTGAAGTTTTGTAAATTCTAAAATCAATAAGTAAAAGTACTTTGACTATGAAATGTCAAAGTACCCCTGAGCCCTGCATCTGGCTCCCTTCTGAGGGGAGTGGCCTGCAACACTGGGTCAAAGCCAGCTCTCCCACATCCACCAAGGGTTCCGAGATTATGAGAGGGCACAGGCCAGCCAAGGGGCCCCACTGGAGCATGAGCAGAGTTGGGGAGGGACTCCAGGGCATGTCCGGCCCATTTCACTCAGTCCTAATCAGCCAGCCACCAGCAGTAAGCTAACCTATTGGTCCGAGCATCTGCCCCCTGTGATCAGTGCACATCATAGCGAGCAGTTGAGCTGCCTTAGCATTCCATTAGCATATTACACTTTGATTGGATGACCAGACCTTAGCATATTAGGTTTTTATTATATAGGATTCCATGTTTCTCAAGTCTTCATGTTTTCCAGCATTATTGGGATTTTTTTTTTACTCATTTCTGCTCTAGTCTGCCTAATTGTTCAAAGTTTATTGCAGTAAACTATTCTCTCTTAATTTGTGTAAATTGTGGACTGAATTTTTATTTTCAATGACTTTATTTTTATTTTTAGAAGTCTGATTTGCACTGAAACTGGTTTGGCTCAGTGGGTAGAGCATTGGTCTGAGGACTGAGGGGTCCCAAGTTTGATTCCGGTCAAGAACATGTATGTTGGTTGCGGGCACATCCCCGGTGGCGGGTGTGCAGGAGGCAGCTGATCAATGTCTCTCTCTCATCAATGTTTTTAGCTCTCTATGTCTCTCCCTTCCTCTCTGCAAAAAAAATCAATAAAATATATTTTTTTAAAAAGAAAAAAAATATTTTCTACAACTATACGAATAAAAGAGAAATATGCAAAATTGACCATATCTCCATGACAACAACCAGCCAATCAGGAGTGAGTATGCAAATTAACCCAACAAAGCTGGTGGGTTGATTTGCATGAGCAAGTGTGAGCGAAGACTGAAGACTGAAAATTGAAGAGTCTTGGCTTCTCCGCTAAGGCTAGAGCAGAGAAGCCAAGCCGGAGTGGAGAAACCTAGTCTCGAGGCTTGGCTTCTCTGCTGCGGCTGCAGCGAAGGCCTGGGTCTTGGTGCCAGAGGAAACGGGTGCTGGCAGCCGGGGAAGGAAAGCCTATTGCACAAATCTTCATGCAATGGGTCTCTAGTAAATCTTATAAAAAAAAGTGCTTATTCTAAGAATATAAGTAATCAAATTTGGCTTAACTTCTAGTAATTAGGATTAAAACTCCAGATAAAAATTCAGTTAATATATATATAACATTACATCAAAATGTTTAAGAATCAAAATTGTCTTATTAATAAGATCTATATAATAACACAGACTGAAATGCTAAGAAAATTGTATACTCACATGCCAAGCTCCACCAGGTGGGCCTTTACCAAGAACTAAGTGAGGGATATAATGATGTTGTTCTAATTTCCAATGCAAAACAGATGGATAATCCTTCCCAAAGTCAGCATCTGGATGAAGGAGTGTGTCAAAGAGTACTGCAACTGGATTGGTTGACCGGCCTTCAAGGCCCTCAGACAAGTATTCTAAATCCTGAATAAATTTAAAAAAAAAAAGGGGGGGGGGGGCAGATAAAGTTTGAAAAAAGAAAAACACAAACCACTACTATTATAACAAAAGTGAAGGCAATTACTCTAACCCAGCATTCTCCCCCCGCCCCCCCCAGAGAGTATGCTGCACAGCATTGGTGTCCCTTAAGATCTTAGTAGAGTCTTTGGTCAAATATGGGAAAGGTTGGGTCTCAACAAATCTAATTTGCTCCTTTTACTGCAAAATTTGAAGATGACTTTAACATGCTAATATGCCTTAATATGTCTACAGTGACATGCAGTAATAAAAGGCAGCCCTTTCCAAACTCATTTTAAGCATACAGCACCTATAAAACTTTATCAGGAAATCATATGGGAAATTCTACTCTTATCAAATCAGGAAATAAATAAAAGTAAGCAGGATGCATTTACAAATCTAAAATTAAATGATAAAAAGTGTTATTAGAAAAAAGGACTTCCAATTAAACACAATGCTTAGATAAGCTGAACTAATCTTGTTTCAGTATAAAAAAATAAAAGGATTGAAATAATACCTGATCAACAAGGGAAAGATGTCTTGCTTCCTGTAGCTTACTCTGTAAGATTGTATTTGGATGTATTGTTTCTGATGATAAATATGGGCGGTAGCCTGATAACATATAAGAAAGGCAGATCCCTGAGGGTCCATTTCCTATTTAAAAAACAGAGAAGGTGGAGAGGGTATGTCAAGCACCACATGCCTCTTCCTGGCTTTTCTCCTCCTTCACACATGGCTTTTCCTCACAAATTCTGCCTTCTCTGAACTCTGAAAACCAAGTCTTCACAAGACTCTGACTTTTGCTTTAACTCCTGGTTTTTGTGCAGAGTCTCATCTACTCAAAGCTTCAACTCTCTATGCTACTGATTCCCAAAATTATATCTCTAGGCTGACCTCTTCCCCAAAACTATACTTCACATTTCCATATGCTACTTCTTTACACCGCCTGACAGGCCCACTAACAACTTAATCAGAATGCATTACAGCAAATCCATGCGTCCCTTCATTTAGCTGCCCTCTCCTCCTACACACCTTCCTTCTCCACATATGGCACGAGCAAAACCCTAAGTTACTAAGCTTCTGGTTCTACATCAATTTTGTCATCTATATCCATTCGGTGGTCTTTGCTTTTCTCCCGTATTTTCACTCAGAAGGCAAGTCGCCCCCTACCTCCCCTCAAATTCACCTGCTCCAAACTATTCCACACTCAGGTGGCTTTGGTAACACATGGTCTTCAGCATGCTGCTTCCCCTACTTTAAAGGACTTTACTGCTTGTTACTGACTACCCAGTATTCTCTATGTTCTAGTCTCAACTATCTTTCCAGTCCCATCTCCTAATGCTGCCTTCCATGTTTCATATGCTTTAACTAAAACCAAACTGCATTTGTCATTGAAATATTTCCATTTCCATAGTTCACTTAGTCTGGGTTTGCTACCTCTCTATTATCTACATCTATCAAAAATTGAATTCAACTAGGACAGCTGCTAGCCATAGGGGTAAAAAAAGACACCTACTCTTAGCCTAATATTTTGTCCCAAATATGCTCAGATGTGAATATGAAAAGTAAAATCATAAGAATATTGGTAAAGTGGGTGCTATTTCCATTTATGATGCTGGAGTGGGAAGACTTTAAGCCTAACACAGAACTCAGAAGACAGAGAGTCAAGTAAACCTTTGCCTTCTATTAACAACTGACAAGTCATGGGAATTAAGATCCGAGGAAAAGAGCTAATTTCCTTGAATCAAAAAGAGACAAAACTGAAGAAAAGTCATGATAACAGCAACAGCTATAGAAAAGCATCTGACAAAACCCAATATCTATTCATGATAAAAACGCTAAGCAAACTACAGAGAGAGGAATTTCCTCAGCTTGAAAAGGATTTTCTACAAAAAGCCCACAGCTAACATCGTACTCAGTGGTGAGACATTAGGTGTTTTCCCTCTAAGGTCAACAACAGGACAAGGATGTCTCTTCATACCATTCCTATTCAACAGACATCTTGAGAGAGGTCCTAGAAATAAAGGCAAGAAAAGGAAACTCTGTGGCCCAAGTCAAGTACCCACTGAGTCCCACAGAATAATTGCTCTGTGGCCTTGGGGCTGAGGAGGAAAGAAGGAAGTTCTCTATGTTCTGGAAACTTTCAGGATGCTCCCATCAAGGAAAAGGCCTGTGGCATGCCCAGCAAGAACAGAAGAGAGTGAAATGTAACAATTCCTAAACCTGGGTCACATCTCCTTCCTTGAGTAGCTTGTTAAAATACAGATGGCCAGCCCAGCTGGCATGGCTCAGTGGTTGAGTATAACCTAGGAACCGGGAGATCACAGTTGATTCCTGGTCAGGTCACATACTCGGGTCACAGGCTCAATCCCTGTGTGGGTTGTGCAGGAGGTAGCCAATCAATGATTCCCTCATCATTGATGGTTCTCTCTCTTCCTCTCCCTTCCTCTCTGAAATCAATAAAAAATATAGATGGCTAAGCCGTGACCCCAGTGCAGCTTCAGTAGAGCAGGGTGAAAGCCCAAACATCTGTGTGGTTAACCAGCTAAGCAAGAAAATTTTAAAAAGACAAGAAAAGGAAATAAAAGGTATACAGACTTGGGAGGAATAAAAAACTCTCTTTGTTCACAAGGCCATATTATCTATGTAGAAAATCCCAAAGAATTGAAAAAACTCCTGGAACTAACAGGCAATTATACCAAGGTTGCAAGATACAGAAGGCAGTTACTTTCCTATATATCTGCAATGACAAGCAGACCTTGAAATGCACTGCACAACACTGCTTATATTTGCACAGAAAGAAAAATACTTGGATATAAATCTAGAATAACACATATAAGATCTATATGAGGAAAAACACAAAACTGATGAAAGAAATAAAAGCATATCTAAACAGATGGAAACATAGTACATGCTTGTGACTAGGAAGAATCAATCTTGTTAAGATGTCAGTTCTTCCCAATCTAAACTACAGATTTAATAAATCCAAATCAAAATCTCCAGCAAGTTACTCTGTGGATAAGGCAAACTGGTTCTAAAGTTTAAGTGGGAATGTGGAAAATCCAGAATAGCCAGCACAATATAGAACAAAATAAAGACTGAAACCATCTTTTAAGCTACACTCATTGGCTGAGGCCAAACAGAAATAGATTGTGGGGAGTGAGGTGGTGAGGAGGTACAGAAGAAGGTGGTTTTTCCTGACTTTCCTATAGCCAAGCTCAAACAAAAAGCCAGGGTTTTTTGATTCCCAAGATATCAAGGATGGAAATCAGGGTGGGAGTTAAATTGGAAAATGCTACACGAGGTACAGTCTTAAAGAATATCCTGGATGAGAAACGGTGCAGAAACGCCTTTATCCTCTGCTTAGAGGGGAATCTGTATAGAACTATAGTCCGTCCGTCCTTCCTTCCGTCCTTCCTTCCTTCCTTACTTCCTTCCTTCCTTCCTTCCTTCCTTCACTGAGGGTCCCACATTCTGGGCAGAGGAGAGGACTTTTCTCTCTTTCCCACTGACTTTGAAACAAAATATAGATTGTCTTCATTACCAGGACAGTGGCATAAAATCACAACTAATAGTATCCTATATAATAAAAGGCTAATATGCAAATTGTCCCTTCGACTGAGAGTTCTACCAGGAGTTCAACCAGGAGGCGGGCTGACGGCACTGTCTGCAGCCCCTCCCTGGGCCAGCTGGATCCCACCTGTGCATGAGTTTGTGCACTGGACTTCCAGTCTAATATAACAATAGAGGAATATATAAATTAGCCAGGACACTGGAACGTCACCACCCATCTACAAGCGGTGGAGAGCCACAGGAAGGTGGGGCAGCAAGCTACAAGCAGTGGAAGCTACCAGCAGCAGTGGGCAGGGTGCCCAGCTGAGGCAAGCAGCTGGGAGCTACTCACACACAGATTCGTGAGTAGGGCTACTAGTTTTAAAATCATAGAGTAATCCTTAATGAATGGATGCTGTCTGCATTCTAATACAGGATCTCAATTAGGTAAACCATGTAAATCTCTTCAAAGATTTGGTTATTGGTTGTTTTAAGATATTAAATCTAACAATACTTTTTAATAAAATCCCAAGAACTTATATAACTATGTAACTATAAATGTATAAAAGTAGTAAGGATCACCACTAACTTTAAGAGATATAATGCAGAAACTTACCTATTACAACCACAGGCAAAGTCACTGAATCTTCAAGTAAAGAAGTTTCTTCAACTAAGGGCATCGCTTTAACTTTTTGTCCCAAATTATCACCAAAATATTGAACTAAGGAATTATAAATCTCTCCTTCGGTTTCAGAGTCACCATAGTTTCTTTTTAAAAACAAACATGGAACAAAAACAAGAGATAAATAGTTAATATAGCCTTTATAAAAATCTCTTTATTCATATTTTATTTAGGCACCAAAAAAATTCCATAGTTCCATAAAAGGAAAAAATCCTTCTGATTAATGTTTTCAAATCAGTAGCTTAGCTACATGTCCATCTACACCATTTTGAATGTCAGAAATCCTAAATAGCTGCTACTGTCTCTTTATAGGCAAGTCCTACATAAGACAAGTCCCAAATAAGAAGCTATCTTTAAAATGACCAAAGACACAGGATTATGTGGAGATTTTTAATTTTCTGAGAACATGTAGGAGTAGGTAGTTTCTTTTTTTTACTTTTCTTTCATTAATAGAAAGTACATTAAAGGCAATATATTTAAAACAAAATAATCACACGTAATATTTTAAGGAAAAGTTACTGTACTTATATTGTGTGCTTTGGTAAATTAAGTTTATACATTTTTTTTCTCAAAGAGATACTGAAATATGGAAAGATCTTAATGCTGATTTCTAATCTACCTTCTTTCCCAACTGCCTTCCTAGAAACTAGTGTTAGCATTCTGACAAGCTCAACATCTTCTCACGTGCTTATTAGGCATGTACATATCTTCTTTGGAGAAAGTAAAATTCTTTGCCCACTTTCAAATTGGGTTCTTTTTTTATTGTTGAGGTTAAAAAATCCTTTATAGCCGAAACTAGTTTGGCTCAATGGATAGAGCGTCGGCTTGGGGACTGAAGGGTCCGGGGTTCAATTCCGGTCAAGGGCATGTATCTTGGTTGCGGGCACATCCCCAGTAAGGGGTGTGCAAAAGGCAGCTGATCGAAGACTCTCTCTCATAGATGTTTCTAACTCTCTCTCTCTCCCCCTTCCTCTCTGTACAAAATCAATAAAATATATTTTTAAAAATCCTTTATATATATCCCGTTTCAGATACATGATTTACAAATATTTTCTTTCATTCTGTGTGTTGCCTACTCACTTTCTTTATGTTGTCTTTTTAATCACAAAAATTTTACATTTTGATCAAGTCCAATTTATTTTTCTTTTGTTGCTATGCATTTGGTGTCATATCTAAGAAACCAATATTTAATCCAAAATCACAAAAATGTACTCCAATGCTTTCTTCTACAAGTTTTATAATTCTAATTCTTACATTTAGGTTTTTCATTCATTTTAAGTTAGTTTTTGGATACGGTGTGAGGCAGGAGTCCAACTTCACTATTTTGCTTATGGATATTTGTCCTAGCACCATTTGTAGAAGAGACCGTTATTTCCCCTTTGCCTCACAATCCCATAGAAAACCAAGTGGCCACAGCATAAGAATTTATGTCTAGACTCGATTTTTGGCCGAGTTCAACTGTGCAATTCCATATACTTTTCTGGAGGGAAAAACTCAGCTAGAATTTTGATAGGATTGCACTGACTTTGTAGATCGGTTGAGAAATGGTCATCTTAAATACAGGGTGGGGCCAAAACAGGTTTACAGTTGTTTATAAGGTAAATAATGTAACTAATAAATAATACAAGAATAAAACTTGGAGTACCTTACTGTAAACCTCTTTTGACCCCATCCTGTATATTAAGATTTTCAATCCCTACATGGGATTCCTTTTCATTTCCTTAGGCCTTCTTTAGGTATTCTGAGTGATGTTTTGTGGTTTTAAGGGTACAAGTCCTTCTGTTAAAATTACTCCGATTTCATTCTTTCGGATGTTCATAGGAATGGAATAAACTGCAGCTGCGGGTGGAGGGCCTGGCCTTCAATACATAAAAACTGCTACACCTGTGAAGGCAGCAGCAGAGGAATGCGTGGGTGCTCCTCTGCTGCCAGTCTGGGGTCCTAAAAGTCCTCTTAATTCTGAAGAGATAAGCATAAGCAATCCTCCTAGATATGTGCCATGAACGGAGTAGTGATGTCCAGTGGTGACAGTCTGATTTTATTCATAATTGAGTATTAGATTTCGGTTTTTAAATTGCTTTCTTCACCTCCATGGTCAGGGCCACTTACATTCCACCTCGGGCCCAGTTTCATAAGCAGCAGCTCTGCCTCGGGCGGAAGGAAAGTTCCCGGCGGCGCCGGGCGCTGCACGTGGAGGGAGGCCCCGGCGCCCCGCCGCCCCGCCCGCCGCGCCCACGTCTCCGGGGCCCGGGCCTCCGGGGGCGTCCGGGCGGCCGGCCCGTCCGCTCCCCGAAATCGCGCTGCCGCCGCCCTCCCCGGGCCTGGCCCACCAGGAGCTGCGTGAGGAGATACAGAGCCTGAGGGGGCGGCTCGCGACCCGCCCCGGAAACTTTGCAGCTGGGCGGCGCCGCCGGCCTGCGGGGTGAGCCGGTGCCCGAGGCCGGCGCGGGGCTGCGGGCAGAGGGGAGGCGCGGGGCGGGGAGGCGCCGCCCGCCCGGCCGCTCCCGCCCTCCCCGCCCCGCGTCCTCCCCTCTCCCCGCGGGAAGTCACCTGAAATGCCCGGCCAGGGAGCAGCGGCAGCACCACACGGGCATGGAGCGCGGCCCCGCCGCCGCCGCCTCCCCGGCGGGGCCGCCCGGTGGGGTCGAGGGTCGAGGGTCGAGGGTCGGGGGTCGCGGGGCCCGGAAGCCACGGCGGAGCGGCCGGCGAGCCTGGGCGCCGGGGGTCGGACGCAGCTTCCGCTCCCGCGGCGGACCGGACGCTCCCGACGCCGCGGACGGCGGGGCGGGGCCTCCTCGCAGGTGCGGAGCCCGCGATTGGCTCGGCCGGGGCGGGGGCGGCGCCTCGGGCGCAGAGAGGAGACAGGCCCCGCCCCCCGCTCCATTCACCGCCGGGCACCGCCTCCCTGCGCAGCGCCGGGACCGGGGCTGTGGGGCCGCCGTCTTTGCTCCGGCCGGGTGGCCTCGGGAGACTCGGGGAGGGGATCTCGGGTGGTCGCAGGGTGACGGGCGGGACAGAGCGGGCCGCGGGGGGCCCTTTGGTGGCCGGGTTGGGGCGGGTCCCGGGTGTGAGGGCGCAGGGGCCCGGATGACGCAGAGTGCAGACGGGGCTGTCCTCTCGTGGTCCCCCCAGGGCCCAGCCTCGCCGCCCGACGGGAGATGCTTGCACAGCCCTCGGCCCGGCGCCGCGGGCGGCCCAGGGCGCCACTGGCCTCCCGGGGCCTCTTTGGGGAGGGGGTTGGGCTGCTTGATTTAAAAGCAGACGCGGGAGAAACAGCACCGCGGAGCAGGGACCCTTGGAAAGCGCATGTTGCTCCGCAGGTGGCTCAGTCGGTGGGGTTCTGGTTGGTGGCAGCATCAAAAGGTTGTGGGTCTGCCCTGGCCAACGTGGGTGGGTGGGTGGAGGGTCCGCTGAGCACCGAAGGGTCGCGGGTTCGGTTCCTAGACTAGGGCACGAACCTGGGTTTCAGGTTAGCTCCTTGCCCCAGGTTGTGGTGCATTTGGGAGGCAACCAGTGATGTTTCTCCCTCCTTCCCTTCCACTCTCTCTCTGAAAAGCAATGGAAAAACTATCCTCAGGTGAGAATTTTAAAAAAGAGTTGCAGTTCTGGCTGGTGTGGTTCAGTGGTTGAGTGATCTATGAACCTTGAGGTCACCCTTTGATTCTCCTGGTCAGGGCACATATGAGGGTTGCAAGCTTGGTCCCCAGTAGGGGGTGTGAAGGAGGCAGCCAATAAATGTTTCTCTTTCATTGTTTCTATCTCCCTCTCCCTCTCTAAAAAAAAAAAAAAAAAAAAAAAAAAAAAAAAAAAAAAAAAGTAAATAAAGGTACATTTTTTAAAAATTAAAAATTTAAGTTAAAAATAAAAGGGTTGCTGGTTTCACCCCAGGTTGGAGCTCCTAGGGGAGGCAGCAGGTGCATGTTTCTCAAATCAATCAAAACCTATCCTCAGATGAGAATTAAAGAATAAGTAAATATCCTTGGCTGTTCAGACTCTGCACCAAAAGGTTGCCAGTTTGATTCCCAGTGTGGGCACATGGGACGCATGTAAAAGCAGTGATGTTCTGCTCTCACATCGATGTTTTTCTCTCTTCCCTTCTCCCTTTCTCTCACTCTAATTTAATTAAAATTAGAAAAGCACATGTACTTCTGCAAGGGCTCAAGTCCCTGGCCTGCCCTCTCTCAGTGGAGAAGTAGGGACTTCATCCCTAATAACTTGACCTGTTCACTGTGCTTTTCCTGCTCGCCCCACACCCGACTCCCCCCAGCTTCTTCTGTCCTTAGTTGAAGGTGGTATTTAGGGTGACAACTTCCACCATTTGGTGACTTCCTCAGTGTTTCTCAGTCTCTCCCATGTATACAGGAGGTGTATATGTTATGAAACGTTAATTTATCTGCTTGCTAATCTGTCTCAGGCTAATTTGGTTGTTAGCCTGGCCAAAGCAGCTGAGGAAAGAAGACTCCCTAACAGTTGCCACTCATTTCTCTGTCTCCTTGCCTGCAAAGTCCACTGGGAAGCTCTAGTTGCATTACTACAAGAGAAAAGGAGAGAATAATATTAATAGTCAAGAAATAAAAAATATATGACAGGGTCAGTCCTTCAGAATCGATGGAGGTTTCAACATAGAAAAGAAGTGCCAGAAAGTGAAAATAGAGAAAATGATTGGATGAAACCTACAGGAAAAAATTTTAGAACTAAAGGGAGACAAGTATAATAAAAGATTTGCCTAATATGCAAATCGACCCAACAGCAGAATGACTAATTGCTATGATGCTCACTGACCACCAGGGGGCAGACCCTCAACACAGGAGCTGCCCCCAGCTCTCAGGCCCCAGGCCAGCCAAGGCGGGTGCCAGCAGGGCCCCTCTCCCCCATCATTCTGCCAGTTACCCCTCAATCAGCCCTGATCACTGGCCAGGCCTAGGGACCCTACCTGTGTACAAATTTCATGCACCAGGCCTTTAGTAATTGTATAAGACCTGAGTTCTGAACAGGAAAAAGAAACAAGTCTACGTATAGGCATATCATGAACTTTAAGGATGTCAAGAATAAAGAGAAGATTCTGAAAGCTTCCAGAGATCAAATATAGATCCTCCACCAAAGAATGGCAATCGGCTGGCAATTGGCTCCTCACCAGGACTGGATATTAGGAGATAAACAACGCCCAGGAAATTCCACGGGGAAATCACTGAACTTGAGGTTCTGTACCAAGTAAAGCGATTGATAAAATACAGGGCAGAATGAAAAAGGAAATTAAACTGAGAAAGCTTTGTCTCCCAAATACTCTTTTTTTTTTTTAGGATGTTACTTGAGAAAACAAGGAAATTATTCAAGAAATTGGAACAGGTTGGCTCTATGAACAGTGGAACTAACTCAGAAAACCCATGAAGGTAAGTCCCAGGATAACATCTGTATAGCAGGCCTGAGAACCACCCATCCAAACTGAAAAGTGACCACAGGGTTGTAAGAGAACTTCTTGTAGAAAAAGCCTCTGTAGATGTAATCAGATCCTGTAAGTATGGAAAGATCTTATTCTTATGATGTTATAAAATTCAAGACAAAAGTGAAAGGGTTGTTGGGAGTCCAGTAAGGGTGGGGGCATAAGACAAAAAGTATACAAAAACCAAGAAGTATAGCCAGAGAAAAAAACAAACAGAGGATCCAAATAATCAAAATCAGAATTGAAAGAGATGAAGTAATAACCAACCCCACAGAAACACAAAGGATTATAAAAAAAAAAAAAATCAACAAAAAACTATGAACAACTCTATTCCAACAACCTATATGAAATGGACATGTTCCTAGAAAAATACAATCTTCCAAGACACAAATCAGGAAAAATCAGAAAACCTGAATAAGCAAATAACTACTGGTGAAATTGAGGGAGTAATCAACTTTCAGCAAAGGCCCTGTTTCAGAAAGCTCCACTGGGGAGTTTTTCAAACATTCAAAGAAGAAGTAACACCAATCCTCCTCAGACTGTTCCAAAAAACTCAAGAGGAAGGCACACTTCCAAGCTCTATCAAGCCAGCATTACCCTAACTCCAAAACGAGATAAAGACTACAAAAACAGAAGATTACCGGTCGATATCCCTGATGAACATAGATGCTAGAATCCTCAACAAAATATTAGCAAATCAAATCCAGCAATACATTAAAAAGATTATACACCATGGCATGTGGGATTTGTTTAAGGCTGGTGCAATACCAACAAATCATAAATGTGATACATCATAAACAAATTGAAAGACAAAAACCACATAATCATATCAATTGGCACAGAAAAAGCATTTAACAAAATCCAACACTCTTTTTTGATAAAAACTCTCAGCCAAGTTGGAATAAAGGGATCATACTTTAACATAAGAAAAGCCTTATATGAAAAACCTATAGCCAATATCATACTCTATGGGCAAAAACTAAAATCATTTCCCCTAAGAACAGGAACAAAACAGGGATGCCCACTTTCACCAGTCCTGTTTGACATAGTATTAAAATAAGGTGACCGCGGGACAGTCCTGATTTTTAACAATTTGTCCTGCGTCTCGCAATGTTTACTTTTTTAAAACGCTGCGGGATGCGGGACAAATTGTTAAAAATCAGGACTGTCCCACCAAAAGCAGGATGTCTGGTCATCTTATATTAGAAGTGCTAGCCATAGCAATCAGAGAAGAAGAAATAAAAGGTCCAAATTGGAAAAGAAGTAAAACTGTCATTATTCACAGATGACATGATATACATAAAAACCCTAAAGATTCCACTAAAAAAATTACTAGATTTAAGTTAATTTGGCAATGTAGCAGGATACAAAATTAACACCCAGAAATATATAGTATTTTTATACACCAATAATGAACTCACAGATAAACTGGAAAAAAACCAACCCATTGCAAAAAAAAAAAATTAAAAAAATTAAGATACTTAGGAATAAACTTAACTAAGTATAATTAAGTAAAATACCTGTACACAGAAAACTACAGGGTGTTGAAAAAATAGATAGAGAAAGATATAACCAAGTGGAAGAATATACCATGTTCATAAATTGGTAGAATCAACATAAAAAAAAGTCATCAATATTTGTGTTAGGGTGGTTTGGACTTTGTTTTTGGTGTTCAGTATATTGAATCTTTACATTTCCTTTTCAAAATTACACATAAATTTTCTAAAAATACATACTTTTTATTTTTTAGTTAATATTATTTTTATTTCATGAAAATCATAGCCCCATATTGTATAGGAGAATTTTAACTGCTGGATTTTCCTTGCTATTACACACTGCAGGTAGTTTACTGATTTACATACTCTCTAAATAGGAAAATATTTGTCAGAGTGTTTAATATGTCTCTTTCCTTTCCAATCTTCAGTTGTCACAAAGAGCAATTCTTACAGAAACTTAGACGATAACATTTCAGCTCTAAAGCACCCTTGCAAATTGATTTGTTCTGCAGCCGTTTTACTTCCAAGCATCTGTCCACAGCGACAGAGGACTAGCAAAATGGGTTCTCCCTGAAGCACCACCTGCCTGGTCTTGAGAATCCACGAATGACACAGACTCATCCCACATACTTGCCTTTCACTTTTCTATGACATTTTC